ACCCGGCGGAGCCCCGTCCCGCGGGGCGCCCGCGCCGCAGAGCCCGGCGGAAGGAGGCGGAGGAGGGAGCGGAGCTGCCCGGCCCTGCCCTGCCCGGTGTGAGCCCGCTGCCGCGGGGAGCCTGTGCCCGGGGGACGCCGTCGCCGCCCCAGCCCCGCGTCCGGCCCCGCGGGGCTCCTCCGGCCTCGCCTCGCACAGGTAACCGCGGAGAAGGAGGCGCGGAGCGGCGCGGAGCAGAGCAGCCTCCCCCGGCCGCGATGCTGAGGGCCGCCCTTCCCTGCCGGGGCCGCGGGAGCTGCCGCTGACAGCGGAGGCTGCGCCGGGCCACTTCCACCGGGACGCTGACTTTCCCGTCTTTTTGTTTATTCTGCCGTTCTTGAGATACCGCTATCCTCCTTCCCAGCACCGCGGGCACGTCCTGTCTCACCGTGCCGGATTTTTACCCCTCTATCTCCATTGCCCGTCTGAAAGTGTATTTATTTTTAATAAAAGAAAAAGTGGAGCCACAAATCCAGTTGATAGCACATTCCCCACTCTGTGGAGCCTGGTTTCTTTCTGCAGTTTAAAAAGTTTACTTCCCCCCCCCTCCAGTTTTATTGACACTGAGGATGAAGAAGGATTTGCAAGTGAAAGCGCCTTGAAATACAACATCTTTTAGAGAGAGCTCTGCAGTTCGCCTGTTAAGTCTCGAATTCCACCCTTTGCCCCTGCTGAATCCACTGTTCTGCCCTTTACTCTCTGGGGTAAAAAACTAAACAACAACAACAAAAACCCGAGGGGAAAAAAATACCTTTGGCAGCAGGGAAGCTTTGTGTGACTGACCCAACGAGCTACAAGTGTCCAGTTTCTGAAAAGAAGAAAACCCTTTTGTCTTCAGCAGATCAGTAGGTAAGAGACGTGCTCGTGGCACAAGGGACTCGGCGTTCATTCTTGCAGCCAAACCTGGGAGTTAGACCGGCTCTGTTCTCTGTCAGCTTTTGCCCATCGCTTCTCTCTCCTGTAGAGATTACTCTTCATCTTGCAGAATTCTTGCCAAAAAAAAAAAGCAAAACACACTTGTTCACCCATTTCACGACTGGCTGTAAATAGCCAAAATTAATAGTGATGTACTTGTGTGTAATTGGATAAAGTAAAGTCGCTGAAGTGGGTTTCCGTAAGGCTGTGTTTGAAAGCAGCCGCGTTTCTTGCGGTGCCAAAGTCTCTTCCATCTCCTCTTTCCCCCCCAGCCGCTAGACCCGGCTGTGTCAGGGCGGTAGAGGCCAGTGGATGGTCACTGTTGTGACAGGCTGAGCCTGGGAAGACTCTGTGATGTGTATTTTAAGCAGAGCGCTATAGAGAGGGAACTCCTTTAACATCCGGCTCGCACGCGGTGAGGCGCCACCAGTTCTTGCCGCGCCTTCCCCCGCTTTCAGCATCTGCCCGGCCAGGGGCGGGAGAGCGGGACCCTCGGCCGGGGAGCCTTGGCCGCAGGCCCCTTCAGCTCCACGGGTGTAGCGGGACGCTGCGGAGACCCGGGGGCCGC